TGGATTGGGCGAAGTCAAACAGGCCTTAGCCATTTGGGCCCAGGAATTTATATTCCAACCCCCCTCAATTGCTGAACAGCATCAGGCCCATTGCTAATCTTTTTTTATATTTATTTTCTTTATCATTTTTTTATTCTTTTAATTTCCTTTATTTATTTAATTTACTAATTTATTTATTTTTCACAAAAAAAAAACATAAAATCAACAATTCACCAAAATTAGGATTAGTCTTTTTTTATTATTATCAAAATTAATTTAATTTAGGTTTAACTTAGAGAAGTTGTAATTTGTTTTCATAAATAAAATCAAAATAGAAATTAGGTTAACTTTTAATGTTATTTTGCTCTTTTTTCTCAAATAAATAAAAATACAAAAAGATAGGTTTAGAATAAATTAATCTATTTTTCTTAGATTAAAATTAATTAGAATTAGGCCTTTCTCTTTTTAATGTAATAATTTCTCTATTTTTTCTAAATAACAAAACATGACCAAAACATTTTTTTAACTAATCGCAATTAGGTTTAGGCAAAGGTCAAAACCCTAGTTGCCCCGCATTTGATTTATCGCGCGCGAATTATTATTTATACCTGTAAATGCTCATGGTTTGTAATAGTTTAATCTAGGGCTTTTTATTTATCGCTTTTTCCCGAGTTTTTGGCTATGTAATTAATCCCCCTCCCCGAAGCCTTGTAATAGCGTAGATTTACTTTCTCGCATTTTAATTCTCGCAAATATTTAACTGTTTAGATGAATGCTAATAGGATTGTATGACAAGAATGCATGACAAATTAATCTAGTTAGAAAACCCTAATGTGCAAAGATTAAATAATTGAAAATAGATCACTTGCACATATCACTCTTAGGGTGTACTCACACTTCGGTTGCCTTCGGTAAATGATCATTAAAGTATATGGTGTCTTAGTGGTTTCCCTCCTATCTAACAAAGATCAAATGTCCCATTCGAATGTTACCTCGGAAATGTTGCCTCGGAACTGTTGCCTCGGAAATGTTACCTCGGAAATGTTGCCTCAAATGTGATCTTAAAGACTTTGGGGTTATTACTAAGTCATCCTAGTGTTGCTTTAGTGATTGTACGTCCCTTTCGAATTGACCCTTACAAAATCCAACGACGGTGCTACCTATTTCTCAATAGTAGGATAGCATTGTCTAGAGGAAACAAGAACATAAACGATCTTTTTTCGAGTAGGTAGATGCTAGTAGGTACTTGCTCAAATCAAAGCTTTTCACACTTACACATTTCAAAACAATTTTCAAAACAACTTCGTCACACCTTTGAGGACTGATACAAGGGTTATCACGAAGTAAAACATCTTCAAAACAAAGCACACACACAAGAAATTTCAAAAGATGAGCAAGTACCTAAGAGCCCATGGAAAACCATGGATATAAAGGGTGCTAACACCTTCCCTTTCTATAATCTACCCCCCGTACTCAAAATCTCAAAAAAGGATTTTTTTTTTATGTACTTTTTTCCTTTTCGATTGGATGAAATAAAAGTCGGTGATGACTCTTGCTTACCGCGACATTTTGCGAACATAAAACGCAAAACATAAACCAGTATTAACAGTCGGTTCTGCCACTGTATCACAATTAGGATGTGGTTTGAAGCACTTGTAGCAGAGCTTAGTTTGCACAATGTGTTATAGTAGTTAACGTTGTGGTTATTCATCTATTTAATTCATTCTGAATTTTTAGAAATCACTACTACAAAATATATTTTTGGTAACACCATATTACTATGTCCGTCTAATCAACTGTTGCAATAACTTATTTTTACCCACCTTAATTTTTTATATTTTATTAACAGACATTTCATCACTGACCATAATAAAAACCCTGGTGATAGATGAAAAGTTACATGCTTCACATCCCAACACCAACAATTTTTATTTTTCGTTACAAAAATGGCATGTCCTTATCCTCTTATAAGTATATTAAAGATTAAAATACCTATCACCACGGTTAGTACCAGAAACCATTGTGAATAATACTTACATTTTATCATAATTTTTGCTAACAACTATGGTGATAAGTGTTACATATATAAGTGAAGTTATCAAACTTTATCATAAAATAGTCGTCTCTCCCAAAACAAAATCCTAAAATATCTCTCTTACTCATGCAGTGAACTTGTCTTTCTTCTTTTTCCAAAGAACTCGTCTTTCTTCTTCTTCATACTAAAAGGTAATCAAGTTCAACACATTTTCTTCTTTATCTTTTTTCTTCTTCTTCTTCTTCTTCTTCTTTTTATTCTTCTTTATAATCTTTCTTCCATGTTTTTCATATGCCTTCTTCCATTTTTATTTATATAGAATCTAATATTCATCACTTTTGAAGAAATTTTAAGGTATGTTATTCTATTTGGTGTTACAAAGGGCTTTCATTTGGCATGGTGTCTTTTGATTTCAGTTTATATGACTTTTATGCTTTTTGGGTTGCCTTTACTTGGATCTCTATTTTTGAAATGGTTAATTTGTGTTTAACAGATCAAAAGACAATATAAATGGGAAAGAAGTTACCATATATGTACCAAGTATGAATGTGTTCTTCTTAAAAAAATTCAAACTTTCCAAATCTAGTTTTTGTTTCCGTTTAGGTTAACATGCTAATTGAAGGATTATAATATCATGCTAATAGATTTTGACTTGTAGGGAAGGTGAATGAAAAAAATTAACTCAAGAAAGTGAATACTATAGATGTAGTTCAAAAATTCTTTATGACGCTGTGAAGAAAAAATACAAGAAGGATGAAGCTAATGTGACAGCTGCAAACTTTTATGAAAGACCTAGTATGACATTCATTCAAATCTAACACAAGTTTTCAGCTCTCACTTCAGTTTTATCATCCTTTCATTGTGGATGCCATTCTAAGACAAGTAGATCATTTATTCATCTTTGTTCTCCACAGATCTATTCAATAAAAGGCATGTTTGTGAAATATTTTATGAGTTGATATGTTGTTGTTCAAAATGTTTGCCTTATTGAGGTTTGTTGATGTTTTTGCATGTCCTAGAACAAACTTGTTTTGTGCAGCTAGATGTGATTTCGTTCGGCCAACATGTAAGAACAAAACATTGCTAAGTCACAAGAAAAAAATATTCTTGTGACTTAGCAATGTTTTGTTTTTCTGAATCTTGTAGCATACATTTAAAATCTTTGCCTTGTTGAGGTTTGTTGAGTTTATTATATTGTATGTAGATTGATTATTTCGCTAACCCCTCACTGAACACGCATTCATTTAAATTGGTTTGAAAAATGATAATCTGAAAAAATTAAATTATTCTTGAAAAACATCTTAGAGCATGATTAGCGGTATTCTTTGAGAGTTCCTACACATTTATTAAAGAAATTGTGTCAATAATAAATGGATATTTCACTTGTTTTCACGTTCCTGAACTAAAGCACGTCATCATACTAAAGCACGCTTCTACACTCCAATTAAGTGGGTCATGATAATAAATTAATAAACAAAATCGCAAGAATGTAGTTGATTTGTTTTAAATGTGGGACCCATTTTATATTTTTTTGATGAATTACATGGATATTTGAGAATTGTAGATGGGTTGTTTAAAAAATTGAGAAGTGTGAAATAATATAAAAAATTATGTGGGTCTCATTTAAAGAACCCAAATGGGTATGATGGATGTGGATGCTCTTAGATGATCCACTGTTTTTCAAATTGCATGCATCTTGTAATTCAACTCTCACTCTTTAACATATAAAATTTGGTTCAATGCTTCTAGTTCTTCAAATTAAATGTTCATTCTCTTCTAATTTATTTTGAAAAGCATCAATTTGTTGAGAAATTCAGACACATCATCATTGTTGTCATCGTAATAATCATTATCACCGAATAAATAATGATGATGATGATGATAGTGACGATGATGACTCTGAATTAGTTTACAAATTGATGTTTTTCAAAATAAAGTAGAAGATAATAAATTGTAGCTTTGAAGAACTTGAAATGTTGAACCAAAATTTATATATTAAAGAGTGAGAGATGAATTACAAGATGTATGCAATTCGAAAAACAGTGGATCATTTAAGATATTTTTCAAGAATGAATTAATTTTTTAGATTATTATCTTCTAAATCAATCTGAATGATTGTATACATTTATTTAGGAGTAAGGAAAAACAAACAATCCACATATTTTATAATAGTCTTTTATATATATATATATATATATATATATATATATATATATATATATATATATATAGAGAGAGAGAGATATATTTTGCCAATGAGAAGACTTGGTCAAACATTTGGTTGAAAATATATTCTATAACGGTTGTTTATGCATTAAAGCCTCCATTTAAGGTGTCTTAATATATTCGTACTAGATTAATCAATTGTGTAGATGAATACATAAATTTTTTTAGTTTCTAATATTTATATATAAATGAATAGATTCCTAACTTAGATTTAAATTTGATGGATTCAATTCTTTTTTTATTTGTTGAGCAAAATGGATTCAATTCATTTTGATTTGTTGCAAATATAATTAAAAGGAGATTTTGTAAAAAAATAGGTTAAGTTAATTTTTCACTGAGAGTATTCATCTACTCTCAAATTTTATGTCTATATTTTTCTTTTATATATATTCATAATTTTTATATAAAAAAATCAAAGAAAACACCCAAGCTCCATACAACCTTTGAAAAAAACCCTAAATTCTCTTATCTATTCATTTTAGGATATAACATACTATGCACGAATTCCACGTTTTATTTTACTATAGTCCCCACCATGATCCACCCTATTTTCTTTGCCCATTTAAGTCCCACTCTCAACTCATCTCCCACACCTACAAACCCACCTCTCCTTTTCTCTTCCCCTAACTCACCAACTCTTACACCAACAAAATTAGTAACTTGTTTCATACTATATAGTATACACACTTAGGGTGTGACATATTTATATAAGATGAAAAAGAGAGTATCTTAGAAAGCAATTAATCATCTTTATGCAAAAATGATTAACAATAGTAGCCCACAAGATTGGCCAGAACCAATAATCAGAGTTCAAACTTTATCCCAAACTTGCATAGATTCAATCCCTCAAAGGTACATCAAACCTCTTAATGATCGTCCATCTACAAACTCTCTTTTTGAATCAACCAATATTCCAATAATTGACCTTGGAGGTTTATATAGTGTTGACCCAAACGAAAAAGCTTCAACTTTTAAGAAAATTTCCGAGGCTTGTAACGAGTGGGGATTCTTTCAAATTGTTAACCATGGTGTTAGTCATGATTTGATGGATTTGGCTAAGGAAACTTGGCGTCAATTCTTTCATTTGCCTATGGAGGTTAAGCAAGAATATTCAAATTCACCAAAAACTTATGAAGGATATGGTAGTAGACTTGGTGTTAAGAAAGGTGCTATTCTTGATTGGAGTGATTATTATTATCTTCATTATCTTCCTTTGTGTTTGAAGGATTACAATAAATGGCCTTCTTTGCCTCCTTCTTGCAGGTTAGTTAGTATTGATATATAATTTAGTATCATTTTTTTTCTTCAATAATTTAACTTTTTCAATGTGAATGCAGGGAAGTGTTTGATGAATATGGAAAAGAATTAGTGAAATTATGTGGGAGATTAATGAAGGTTCTATCTAAAAATCTTGGATTAGAAGAAGATTATCTTCAAAGTGCTTTTGGAGGTGAAGATATTGGTGCTTGTATAAGAGTGAATTATTACCCAAAATGCCCTCAGCCAGAATTAACTCTTGGCTTATCATCACACTCAGATCCAGGAGGAATGACAATTCTGTTACCAGATGATAAAGTACATGGCCTCCAAGTTCGTAAAAATGATAATTGGATTACAGTGAAACCTGTTCGTAATGCATTTATTGTTAATATTGGTGATCAAATTCAGGTGAATTATATAATTCTTAATTTCTATAAAAATATTTTATATTTTTTTATTAAATTAAAAAATATTAAATATGAATATTTGAGTATATTTCTTTACAATATATTATTCTAAACCTGTTTTTTTAAACATATATAAATAATTTTTATTTTGTTTATACAATAGTTACTAGTACTTATCTTTTATAGATTATGTCTGGGTTGATATTTATATTTATGATGTATGAATCTGTCACATGAAGGCAACACGTGAAGTTCTAATATTATTTTTTTTTTTGACATGTCTCTAATATTTTTTATTGTAACTTATTAATTGTATTTTTGTCACTATAGTATTTGACAGAAAATAATACGGTTAATAGTTTGATTGAAAGAGACATTTATGATAAATAATGTAATATTTCAGTATTGCAGAATCAGCATGCACACACAATAATAAAAGTGGATAAACATTTATCCTCGTGGTCACGGGGCTAATTAAGGATAGGGTTAATTTATTTATAGAATGTCAACATTTATGAATAGATCGTGCAAGATACTTCTTTTACAAGTGGTTCTCAAAATATATGGAATAATAATCATATAATTAATTTGTTTGTTTTGTGTTTTGACAAGGTTCTAAGCAATGCAATCTACAAAAGTGTTGAACATAGAGTACTAGTAAATTCACATAAAGAGAGAGTTTCTTTAGCCTTCTTCTACAATCCCAAAAGTGATGTACCAATTGAGCCAGCAAAAGAATTGGTAAAGCCAGAAACACCATCACTCTACCCTGCTATGACCTTTGATGAATACAGACTCTTTATTAGAACAAGAGGACCATGTGGAAAATTTCAAGTAGAATCTTTAAAATCTCCAAGATAATAAGTAAGTGTCGATTAAGCAGGTAGATGAATAGAATGTCATAACAAATTTGTCACAATTAAATAGTAGATAATTAGATTGTAAATAGTTGAATCATGATTAATCTACAGAGATGACTATAACTAAAAATATATATTTGAATATGTAAATTTTCTCGTTAATTATAATATGTTTGATGTAAGAATGAATAAGGATATGGTTTAAATTGTATAAATTAATTAATCATGAGTTGTATATGATAACCTCTAGTTGATATTAGATAATAATAAATCATGTTGCTAGATAGGGACTTGTTAATTTTGTACAAATTAGAGATCATTTAAGCCATAAAGTAAGGTTTATGTGAATATTTTTTGAAAACATGACGCATGTCTTATCTTTGTTGACTTCTTGCCCTGACATATCACTAAATTTACGAAGGATATTAATCACATAATCCATATGGCTCTCTATGGCTTCGCCTATAAGAAGTAGATCATCTACAAACATTAGGTGCGAAAACCAAGATCCCTCATTCCCCATACAAAGCACTTTCCAAATCTTGGCATTAATGGATTCCATAATAAGGTGCGAGAGTTTTCCCACACACAAAATAAAGAGATAGGGAGAGATAGGGTCCCCTTGTCGTATTCCCTATTGAGGTATAAAATAGCTACTTCTCACTCCATTCCACTTGACGTTAGTTTCAATACTTGTTACGGCATGCATAATGACGTATACTAAATTCTCAGGCAGGTGAATGTTTGTAAGAACCCTCCATATGAAGTCACAACTATTAGAGTAAGATCAAAGATAGAAACATTAGTTCTGTTTTAGGCTTTGTCTGTGATTGACATTTGTCAAGTCTTGTGTACTAGCTTACCTGCTGTAGCAAGTCACACAAGTTGCCCTATAAATGCAACTGTGAGTATCTTATGTAACTAACTTTTACAAAACTATAACAGAAATGAAAAGTTTCTATGCTTTCTATCTCTTCTATCATGGTATCAGCTTAGCCGTTCTCGATCCATGGCGTCACTGATATCGCCGTCTTCCGCTAACGTCATGGTGCAAACCTCACCATCCACGGTGGCGACTGATGAAATGCGTCGTCTTCAATTCTCGCTCAAAATCGCGCACAAACTCGATCAGAAAAACTTCCACCTCTGGTGTCAATAGGTGGAACCCTACATCAATGTGCACAATCTCACGGATCTCGTGGTGTGCACTCGAATTCCGTCCAAATTTGTGGATGATGATGCTCGTCGTCAAGGTATGATTAATCCCGCGTATTCAATTTGGCTTCAGATAGATCAATTGCTTCTGTCTTGGCTTCAATCAACTCTTTTGATCAAAATTTTGTCGCGTGTCCTTGGATGCTCTCATTCGCGTCAACTCTAGGATCGTTTATTCAATTATTTCCAAAAGCAAACTCGTGCACGTGCACGCCAATTGCGTGTAGAATTGTGTGCCCTAACTCTAGAGTCTCAATCTGTCTCTGATTATTTGTTGAAAATCTGCACTACTGTGGATGCTTTGGCCTCAGTTGGAGATCTCATTCCCAACTCTCATCACATTGATGTGATTCTTGAGGGGCTTCCTAGTGAATATGCTCATGTTGTTTCTATTGTTGAGAGTAAGTTTGGTGATATGGATTTTGATGAGGTGGAAATTCTCCTAGTTGCACATGAATTGAGGCTGAACAGGTTTAAGAGGTCTACTATGCCAGATCTTGGATCTCTCAATCTTACACATGTTTCACCTCAAGCTACTTCCCCCGAAAATCCTCAATCTGGCAGCATTGATTCTACTCACTCACAAGTAGCTCCCTCCCGTGTTGAGCCCGAATATTCTAGTTTCAGAGGTGGCAGATCAAACATGGGTGGTCGTGGCAAAGGTTCAGGTGGCAGAAATTCTACAGTTCAGTGTCAAGTTTGCTCCAAAGTTGGACACTCAGCTTTAAATTGCTGGCATAGGTTTAATCAGAACTTTCAGCCTCCCTCTTACAATGGAAGTCCCTATCATGCTGCTCTTTGGCAGTTTCTTAAGGTTCCTTATGGACATTTTCCTGCTAATGTGTAGACACGACCTCCAGCTGCTCAAGCAAGGCCAGCTCTTACTTATTCTGCACCCAGCATATTCATTGCAAATGCCACTTCATCTTCTTCTGATATGTCCTGGTACCCTGATTCAGGAGCCTCATATCATGTCACCAATGATGCCAATAATATGCAGCAAGCCACACCTCTTGAGGGTCATGAACAGATCTACATAGGCAATGACCAAGGTCTTCTTATCAACTCTGCTGGTTCTAGTCAATTTATGTCTCAAAATCACCCTCATACACCTCTCACACTAAATAATCTCTTACACGTGCCTTCTATTACAAAGAATCTCATAAGTGTGAGTCAGTTTTGTCGTGACAATCATGTATACTTCCTTTTCATAGCTGATTCGTGCTTTGTCAAATGTCAGGTATCTAGTGTTGTTCTGTTGACTGGTCATGTGGGGTATGATGGGCTGTATGAGTTTCTTATGCTCAATATTTCCAAATCTTCTAAGTCTGCTAAGCCTTTAGTCTCTTCAAATAAACTTGTACCTTTTGTTAATACTATTGATGTTTCTCCTGCTTTGTCCAATGTGTGGCATTTAAGACTAGGCCATCCTAATATTAACACCTTGAGATTGGTGCTACAAAGTTGTAATCTCAAATTTAGCAATAAAATTCATGAATTTTTCTGTTCTGCTTGTTGTATGGGTAAATCACACAAACTGCACTCGCCTGCCTCACACACCACTTATTCTCACCCTTTATAACTTGTGTACTATGATCTGTGGGGGCCTTCTCCCCAACCTTCAGCACAAGGTTTTACATACTACATCTTCTTTGTAGATGCCTTTTCCAGGTTCACATGGTTGTATTTACTTAAAACTAAAGCTGAAGCCCTTAATCTCTTCAAGCAGTTTAAGTCTCTTGTGGAACTGCAATTTGGATTTCCCATCAAAGTTGTTCAGTCAGATTGGGGTGGAGAATTTAGTCCCTTCAACAAGTTTCTCTCTGACCTTGGCATTGTGCACAGAGTTATCTTCCCTTATACTCACCATTAAAATGGAGTGGTGGAAAGGAAGCATAGGCACATTGTGGATCTAGGCTTGACTCTTTTAAGTCAAGCCTCCCTACCATTAACATACTGGGATTATGCCTTCACCACAACTGTTTTTCTTATAAACAGACTTCCCTCCTCAGCTATTCAATTCCAGGTTCCCTATACTCTTCTGTTTCACATTGTACCTGACTACAAGTTCTTGAAGGTGTTTGGTTGTGCGTGTTTTCCCCTTCTGAGACCTTATCATGCGCACAAGCTGGAATTCAGGTCTCATGAATGCCTGTTTTTGGGTTATTCAAATTCTCACAAGGGTTATAAATGTTTTTCCCCTAGTGACAAGCTTTATATATCCAAGGATTTTTTGTTTCATGAATCCAGATTTCCCTATCTGGAGTTGTTTTCTCCACCCACTTCTCCTACCCTTAATGTCAATAAACCCACCAACCAGACTCCTTCGTCATCCCTGCCATCCCTTTTGTCCAGCATCCCTCTTCTTAAGCCCGTGCTTGTAACAGCTGTTCCTTGTTCTTCTACTAACTTTCCTGCCTCTGCCATCCCCTCCAGATCCTCTACTTCTACAAGTCAAGCAGAAGGCATCTCTCCCTCTCTTACTGAACCTACGACAAATCTTCCTTCTCCTTCTCAGCTGTCCTCTATGGATTCTCTTTCAAAACCTCTGATAGCTACCCCTACACCATGCTGTATTCCTGCTAATACTGTAGTAGTTAGCTCTAAACCTGTTAATCAACACCCAATGATAACAAGAGATAAAACTGGTTTTGTGCAACCAAAGGTGTTACTCACTCATATAGAACCCAAAACTGTAAAACAAGCTCTTACAGATGCTAAGTGGAAATAGGCTATACAGTCTGAATTTGATGCCTTGAGTAGCAATAACACCTGGACTCTTGTTCCTCTTCCTCCTAATAGGCAGTATATAGGCTGCAAGTGGGTGTTTCGCATCAAGGAGAACCCTGATGGCTCAGTCAGCAGGTACAAGGCACACCTTGTAGCAAAAGGGTTTCATCATAAGCAAGGGTGTGATTTAAATGAGACATTTTCCCCTGTTGTAAAGCCGATTACAATCAGACTCGTTCTAACCATTTCTCTCACCCACAAATGGTCAGTTCAGCAGCTTGATGTCAATAATGCTTTTCTGAATGGGCTTCTTCATGAAGAGGTCTATATGGCTCAACCTCCTGGTTTTGTTAACTCAGATTCCTCCCTTGTATGCAAGCTGCACAAAGCCCTCTATGGCCTGAAGCAGGCTCCTAGGCAGTGGTTTGAAAGGTTGCAAGAGGCCCTTCTTAAGCTGCATTTCAAACCCAACAAGTGTGATCCTTCCTTGTTCATCTTTGCTGCCAATGGTAACACTGTTTATTTACTTGTGTATGTGGATGGCATTATCATCACCAGCAATAATACTACCCTGCTTCAGTCTATTATTCATAAACTCAATTCTGATTTTTCTCTCAAACACCTGGGAGATTTGGATTATTTTCTTGGCATTGAAGTAAAACTTGCTGCTCAGGAATCTCTATTCCTCACTCAATCTAAGTATGTTAGGGATTTATTGCACATAACTCACATGGTTGATTCTGCCCTTATTGCCACTCCTATGTAGTCCTCCTGCAAGCTAACTAAACTTGGCTCCCCTGCTCTTGCTGATCCATACATGTACAAATCTGTGGTTGGCGCTCTTCAATATGCAACCATTACAAGACCTGACATTTCCTATGTTGTGAATAAAGTTTTCCAGTTTATGTCTCACCCTCTGGAAACGCATTGGGTTGTTGTCAAAAGGATTCTCAGATATCTCAAGGGCACTATTCAATATGGTCTTCATCTCTTCCCTCATGTTCCCTTTGAAGTTCCTTCCCTTCAAGTTTTCTGTGATGTTGATTGGGCTTTAGA